GAATCAGAAATCAACTTCAATATAAGCGCTGATGTCAGTGGCTCCCAGCGCAATGAGGTGAGCTATATGTTGAATAGATAAACAGATTGCTTTGCCGAAGACCTTTCCCATATTGACAGATGCAATGCCACTGTAATGGACATCGAGGTGACAACAACAACACCGATACTGGGTCGTCGATACCAAGTTGCATTTTCAAAAAGAGATGCACACCGATCTCAGTTAGATCTCCTACTCAAGCACAACATCATCAGTAAGAGCACCTCACCATGCAAACGGAAAATGTCGATTGTCCATCGACTCCAGAGCTCTCAACGCAGGCACTGTAAAAAAACGATATTCAATGTCAATTGTAGAGGAACAATTAGCCAAGCTATCTGGAAACTCGTACTTTACAACTATGGACACGACTTCAGGATATTACCAGATTCCTATGGGACAGGAAAATTTACTGCATTTCTAACTTCCGATGGATTATACGAGTTCAACGTAATGCCATTTGGCTTGCTAAGCCCACCAATGGTATTTGAGGAGATCATCATGGAGATGCTACGACAGCTAGAACACCAACGCATCATAATAAGTTATGTAGACTAAGTTATCATACCATCAAAAACAGTTGACGAAGGACTTGTCAAGAGTTTCTGCAGGCAATCCGATCGGCAGATCTAACATTACAGCCATCCAAATGCTCCTTCCTGCAGACTAAGGTCAAGTTTTTAGGACACTTAGTAACGGCAAACGGGATTCAGCTAGGAATAGAGAAAACTATATGTATCAGCAATTATGAATAGCCACAAACCGATGCTGATGTACGCAGATTTCTCGGCATTACTGGATTCTTGCGCAAGTTCGTCAAGGATTATAGCATTATGGCAGCTTTTTTGAGTAAGCTTCTGAAGAAAAGTCAAGAGTTCCTGTGGGAAGCAGAACAAGAAACAGCATTCCGAAACTGCGTCACGAAGTACACACGGATGCAAGCAGCAAACGTATTGCAGACGTTCTACTGCAAAAAGAAGACGAAGGACACAGGCCTGTATTTTATTACAGCAGGCTTTGCTCGGAAACTGAGAGTCGCTACTCAAGCTATGCGCTAGAAGTGCTAGCTATTACCGAGTCTTTGGAAAGATTCCGCATTTATCTAATTGGATCCGACTTTGTAGTGGTGACCGACTGCAACACTGTAGCAACGCTGAAAGAATCCACTGCTTTATAACCTCCAATCGCACGCTGGTGGCTACGACTACAAGAATTCGACTTTAGATGCAAGCATCGGCCGGAAGAGCAAATGCCTCATGTATACGGAATGAGTAGGAATCCAGTACATCCACCGTATGTAGCAGACAACGTCTTGAAGATAGTTCCCATCGACGAAGACTGGATTTACACAATGCAGATGCAGGACCCAAAAATAAAAGTCATCTTTGAGGTTTTTGCCAACAAGGACGCCAGTAACCAGTGAAGTCAAATTAAAACAGACAATGTTATCTGTAAAAGTCGATTGTATCGAAAAACTAATGATGGCAACAAGTTGGTAGAACCTCAAGCAATCAGATAGTTCGTAGCCAAGTGCAACCATAATGAAGCAGGACATTTTGGAACCGAAAAGACTTAGAAAAGATAAAAGAAATATTTTTGGTTTCCAAGGATGCGCGGATTTATCAAGTCCTACATCGCGCCTTGCCCGGAGTGCTGTGTAAATAAGGTAAAAGGTGGAAAATCTGAGGGTGAGCTATACTTACAAGAAGTAGTACCCATACCGTTCAAAACAATTAAAATTGATCGCATTGTGCCGTTCATAAGAAGTAAAATCGGAAACTGTCGCATACTGGTTTGTGTGCTTTTATTAAATAACCTTTCTAATACCGACACGTAATGCAAAACGACACCAGTTATCAAAGCAAATTTTGCGATTTTAGGCAACCTGTACGGTCAATTTCGAATAGAGGCACATCGTTCAATCAAAGGAGTTCGACCATTTAACTCAGCACATAAAAACGGCCGTTCGCACGCCTCTCGCTAATGGACAGGCTGAATAAAACTTTACCTAAGTGCGTTGAAAACTAGCACAGCCAACGATATGGGTTGGGGTCAAAACTTGGTTAAAATTCAGTGGAGCATGAATACTAAAATCAATTCTAACACAAAGTTTATTCCAAGCGATCTGATATTTAACTTCAATCTACGACATGATTCCAAAAATCGGTCAATTCAAGCATTAACTCAGGAATGAAAACCAGAATTCAATGTTGAAGTGAACTGCGAGCAAGCAGAACAAAACATTAAAACAGAGCAGCAAAAATGGAGGATACGCTAATGCCAGGCATACTTCCCCAAAGAAATTTGGTTTAGACGATCTGGCTATGATCAATTTTGTTCCTTGTAACCAAGGTTTTTTGTAAGGATCGATACGTAATTTATGACCTTTCAGATCGCTCAGTTTCTTAACGACGATACAACAACGTAGTATCCATCGATCACATGAAGCCTTGGTGTGCTTTAATCCTAGGTTTGGATACCAATGATGAAAACTATATCTACTCAACAGAAAACTAACTATCGTCAGTAAAGGCCGAGATTCAAAAATACGGCAGTACAGTAGGCAACTTCAAAAGAGGCAGACGTGTGTCACACGCTCATAAACCAAAAAGAAATTTTTTATACTTTGTGTTCTTTATATATTTCATTAAATTCCTTGTCAATAAGTACTTTATAACCATCCTGAAGGAGCGCAGAGGTATTTTTGACGCGATAGTCGGATCGAAACAAGTAATACACCTATCGAAAGATATTTATACCCGTTACTCGTAGAGTAAAAGGGTATACTAGATTCGTCGGAAAGTATGTAACAGGCAGAAGGAAGCGTTTCCGACCCCATAAAGTATATATATTCTTGATCAGGATCACTAGCCGAGTCGATCTAGCCATGTCCGTCTGTCCGTCTGTCCGTCTGTCCGTCTGTCCGTCTGTCCGTCTGTCCGTCTGTCCGTCTGTCCGTCTGTCCGTCTGTCCGTCTGTCCGTCTGTCCGTCTGTCCGTATGAACGCTGAGATCTCGGAAACTATGAGAGTTACAATACTGGGATTAGGCACGCAGATTCCTGAGATTCCTGCGCAGCGCAAGTTTGTTTCAGTAGAGTGCCACGCCCACTCTAACGCCCACAAACCGCCCAAAACTGTGGCTCCTACAGTTTTGATGCTAGATAGAAAATTTTAACTGAAATGTAATGTTCTCATCAATACCTATCGATTGACCCAAAAAAAAATTTGCCACGCCCACTTTAACGCCCACAAACCGCAAAACCCTGTGACGCCCACAATTTTCATGCTAGATAAAAAATTTTAACTGAAATGTATTGGTCTCGTCAATACCTATCGATTGATCCAAAAAAAAATTTGCCACGCCCACCTTAACGCCCACAAACCGCAAAACCCTGTGACGCCCACAATTTTCATGCTAGATAAAAAATTTTAACTGAAATGTATTGGTCTCGTCAATACCTATCGATTGATCCAAAAAAAAATTTGCCACGCCCACTCTAACGCCCATAACGCTTAAATCTGTATACCGCCGGTAGGTGGCGCATTTTAATCTCGCTTTGCTGCTTGCATATCTCCATTTAGCTGAGTAACGGGTATCTGATAGTCGAGGTACTCGACTATAGCGTTCTCCCTTGTTTGATTCTTCAATGTTTTTACATGTCGTAAATAGTTCCGCTATACCAATTTTAGTGAGTAAAGTACAAATATACCCAAAATCAATATTTTTCTCTTCAATAACATGTACTGAAAGTGACTAAATTGCATTACGTTCATGGATTGTTTTGAAGTACAAAATTACTCAATTTCATGCAAATTACTGAAATGATTCTCTCTAGGCAGACATATAAAATTATGAAATGAATGAGCCTATTATGAATGAAGCTACAACATGCCAACTGGGTTATGTTTTATTTGGGAGTGTATCAACACTTTGGTTGATGAAATTTGCTCATCGTCATCATATCAGTTTCATGCCTTGAATGTGTGAGTTGGTCTATGCGTTTGCCAAACAGCTTTGTTCAAAAAAACGGGACCTAAGGATTAATGTCTTCAAGCAGTATAAGCGTTATCACCACTGTGGACGGCAGCCCACCTAGTGACGAAACGCACCGGAAGTGTGCGCGAGGGACTACTATATAGATTTTGGATTTTATTTTTAACAAAACTAACACTGGGCTTAAATGTAACCACATTGTCGTACATAAACCCAGATTGCTAAAAGTGAATGTGTTTTGGCAAAGGGGACAATGATATTATTTATTATTAGAAGTACCTATAAAAATATAAACATTAAAAATAATAATTTAATAAACTGTTCTTGCTTGATCTACGCTACAAATAAAATAAGGTGTCGGTAAAAGAAGCCATATGGCAACCACAAAAGAATGTATTAGCTGCATCTCTTTGCTATAAATTATTGAAACAATCATGAATTACAGGAGGACACAATATCCGAGCTTTAAAAGGACTTATTACCCCGTATTGGTCTTTCATCTGACATTACAGATTTAAGCGCAGCTCTTCACAACTCGCTCCCAGAAACTTTTCACCCAATACGTCCTTGCTTTGGCAGCCATAAACGTGCCCGGAGGGTCTTCCTTTGTCCCTTTCCGATTTACAAAATCGAAGAAACGCCACGCCCACTCTAACGCCCATAACGCTTAAATCTGCCTACTGCCGGTAGGTGGCGCAATTCAATCTCGCTTTGCTGCTTGCATAACTCCATTTCCCTTTGGCCCCATTAGCTGAGTAACGGGTATCTGATAGTCGAGGTACTCGACTATAGCGCTCTTCTGTTTTATATTAAAATTTTTAGATAATTTTTTACCCTTTCAGATGGTATAATTCCCCATAAAGCATAAACTGGATTTTTCAATAGGGTAGCTATAAAAGTAGTCTGACAGGAACGCCAAATTTATTCCTGCTTTTACACATTTTTCTTCAGTAAGATCTACCATACCATCATGGAAAGATATTCGATCTAACAACGCGTTGGTCTCTCGTTGGTCTCGGAATTGGTGTCTCCGAATCAGTCTCTCACACGTCGTCCTTTTGCGTTGGGAATCTCTGTGACGTCGTTATGGCGAATTTTCAAAAAGATCTTGGCCTACATCTTTGCAAGATAAAATGGACGCAAGATTTAAAACCACGTCGATTTATAAACTGTTTTGGACGATCTGCAAACTTGCCCTGCAATAGAAACCGAGTTTCATATATAATGGCATTTATTGTACTTTCACAGAAATAAAGAATGCAATTGATATCCCAAACCGTGGTTTTATTTAAAAGCAAGGGGAAAACGCAATAGTCGATGGTCTCGACTTAAGGGAGTGCGAGAGGGATGGAGATATGTCTAAAGCAGCTCTGCTTTTTTTACTAACACACCTAGCCAACAGCGCAAACTAACTTCTTCTTCTATAGCGTAACCTGGCCGACAGCGCCAAAGTTCTGACATCAACTTTTGGCACGCTGCAGTTCAATATGTTGAGTACCTCGACTATCAGATACACGTTACTCAGCTATAGGGACAAAATGCAAATGGAGATGTGCAGCAGCAAAGCGAGATTGAAATGCGCCACCTACCCCCGATCTCAATATATGGTTATGTGGACTGTAGACAGATCTAAGAGTTATGGGCGTTGGAGTTAGCGTTAGAGTGGACCAATCGATAGGTATTGACGAGACTAATACATTTCAGCTAAAATTTTGTATCTAGCATGAAAATTGTGGACGCCACAGGTGTGGGCGGCTTGTGGGCGTTAGAGTGAGCGTGGTATATTCGCGTAACAAACTTGCGCTGCGTACAAGGCTACGGAATCTTAATCTGAAATCCCAATTCTCTATCTTAGATAGTTTCCGAGATATCCGCGTTCATATTAACGGTTTTTTGAAGTTTGTGGGCGTTAAAGTGGGCGTGGCAAACTTTTTTTGGGTCAATTGGTAGGTATTGAAGAGAACAATACATTTCAGCTAAAATTTTTATTCTAGCATCAAAACTGTAGGAGCTACAGTTTTGGGCGGTTTGCGGGCGCGGCTAGTTTCCGAGATCTCAGCGTTCATACGGACAGACAGAAAGACGGTCATGGCTAGATCGCCTCGGCTGATGATCCTGATCAAGAATATATATACTTTATGTGGTCGGAAACGCTTCCTTCTGCCTGTTACATACTTTCCGACGAATCTAGTACACCCTTTTTCTCTACGAGTAACGGGTATAAAAATATCTAATACAAATTTGTTCTCATCAAATTACTTTTGTATAGTTTTGGTTATTCAAGTAAGCAATGAAATGCTTTTCATAATGAACTGAAAGGGTTTGCACTTTGTATCGCTCAATATCTTTCAAACCGTAATTTTTATAACAAAAAGTGTCATGTATGAAAAATTGAGAAATATCCAGAGGTATACGATTTAAAAATAAAAAATAAAAAGAAATCGTTCGGACCAATTTTGAGAAAATAGTCACAAAGTGATTTTAAATGACTTTTTGCTTTAACTCTAAATCTCAATTTCATTATGGGTAGTGTATTTAGCAAATTGAATTAGCTATTTAGAGATATGTAACACATCTATAAGCCTTTCAAATCTGTTTTTTTTTGGATTTTCCGCTAAAAGTTTCTATCTCGAGCTACTTAATACATCCATAAGGTTCCCAGGACCCTAAAATGAAAAAGGGATTCTTACAAACCCACTGAGGGACAAACATTTTCATTTTGGGAAGAAGAAAATCTTGTTTTTGGAATAACTTTTGAAAGGGAGATCGGATTTCTTTTGTCCCCACTGACTCCAGCAGCTCCAATTTTCTAAGTTTTACCTTTTCCCGCTTTTTTAACAAGAGCAAAAATGTTAACTGGAATGTATCGTCTATTCCAAAAAAGTTGGGATTAGGAATGTAGTTTCTAGAGATTTTTGTGCACGTGCCACGCCCACAAATCGCAAAAAATTGTGGCGCCCACATATACGGGGTGGTTAAAAGTATTTTCTCAAAACAAAAGATAAATATACTTATAATTTGAACTTACTTCTTGTTAACTTTGGCATCAATGGAAAGGTAATTTAAATGCCGTTTGAATGATACAATACATTTCTTAACCCATTCAGTTCTTATTGAAAAGGACGAATTTGTAAAAACATCAACTTTTTAAACTTTTTTCCTCGACTTGAAAACTTAAATTTTTTGATGCAAAAAGTTTTTTCAAACAAAATATAAATGCAAAAAAAATTTTTCAAAAATCATTTTTCTTGTATTTTTTATGATTTTTTGAAGGTGACAATGTCGGAAAAAAATTGTATGAAAAAAAGAAAAATATGGCTCAAATTCATGTTTCTAAACACTCCCCAGCTGAAAAACGGCTATTTGCTAAAATAAAATTCCGGGGCGCGGACGGCGGAACCCAGCGGTAGCGGATGGTAGCGGTACTACTGACCATGCAAGCCCTTTTCACTTATTAACTTAGTAATTCCAATTTCTTTAAATAGTATTGCGATTGGAATAAATCTTCTGGCTGTGGGCGCTAGACAGATAGAATCGCTATGAGCTACGAAATTACTATTTCATACAATTTTTATAGGAACTATCCATACATTTTTTTTTTGCGCGGGATCCCAAGGTTACTTCTACCGCCCAACCGACCGATGGGCGCTGCCGTGTGGTGTGCGGCACGAATTTGCGGGATGATAGACGCGTAGAAAAATAAAAAACTAGTTAGAGGAAAGAAAGTAGGAATTAATTCTGTGGTAGCAAATGTAATAATAGTCGTTTTAAAAGGGGCAAAGAGTCATACTTTTATACCCGTTACTCGTAGAGTAATACGGTGTACTAGATTCGTCGGAAAGTATGTAACAGGCAGAAGGAAGCGTTTCCGACCCCATAAAGTATATATATTCTTGCTCTCTCTCTTCGTCCGGATGAACGCTGAGATCTCGGAAACTATAAGAGCTGGCTATTGGGACTTGGCATGCAGATTCCTGAGCTTCTTACGCAGCGCAAGTTTTTTTTCAGCTCTAACGCCCACAAGCCGCCCAAAACTGTGGCTCCTACAGTTTAGACGCTAGAGTAAAAATTTTAACTGAAATGTATTGTTCTTATCAATACCTATCGATTGAAAAAAATAGTTTGACACGCTCACTTGAACGCCCACAAACTTCAAAAAATCGTAAGTATGAACGCAGATATCTCGGAAACTACTATAGATAGTGAATTAGGATCTCAGATTTAGATTCCCAAATCTGTGGCGCCCACAATTTACGTGCTAGAATTTTAACTTAATTGTATTGGTCTCGTCAATACCTATCGATTGATCCAAAAAACGCCCATAACGCTAAAATCTGTCTACCGACCACATAACTATATATTGAGATCATGGGAATGTGGCGCATTTCAATCTCGCTTGCTTATCTCCATTTGCCTTTGGTCCCTTTAGCTGAGTAACGGGTGTCTGATAGTCGTGGTACTCGACTATAGCGTTCTTCCTTGTTAGATAATAGGATATAGTCTCTTATAGGCATAACATAACACTTTGAAAGGTTGCTAATCTGCATGGAACAGTTTAGCGGGCTAAAGTCGGGACTATCACTTGCACATCGAATAAAATTATAAATAAAGACTGTTCTATGCATTGTTCTGCGGTTCTGAGACTTGCATCCCAGCTTAAGTGCCCTAAAGCATATCTGCAATTAAGATAACTAAGATCCATCTTTAAAGATCAACAGTGAACCCTAATAAATCGAGTTTTCCAACCAGAAGATCGTAATTTACAGATTCAAACGCTTTACTAAATCTGTGAAAATGACGTCTGTTTGAAAATATTTTTGAACTCCCCTTATCACAAATGAAAGATTCTAAAGGTTAGTGGTTGACACGGAGATACAGAGTGCTTCAAATGGGGAGTAATGATATTTTCGAAAAGCTTTGGGATCCTATAAAATACAACTATAATTATTTGCTTCCACTTTGCTACTTTTCTTGTGAAGATTCCCTCCACATACGGGAAAATGGTGAAGATTCTAAAGATAAGGTAAACAATTGAAAGTGGGCTTGCATAAGGCTCCGCGCTATATCTAAACACGCACCAGGAACACGTTGAAAATCAACAAGCATAGAGGTTTATTTAAGGTGGCCACAAATTAAATATAAAATAAGCTGTGACGTATGAACGCAGTTATCCAACCGGAAACGGTTCCACTTATTATTCATAAACAAATTTTTGAATTCAATCTCACTATGTTGCTCTTGCTTCAGGAATTGCCATTGTCTTTTTTAGATTCTCGTTGCCTTTCCATTACTTCGAGGCCGCGCTTAACGTCCTGCTAATTAACTTCAGATCATATTTCGTTCGATTTTCAATCAAATTGCATGTCATTATTAATTTATTTTAAACAAAAATTAAAGTAGAACTTAAGAAAGAAAAACTCTGACGAGCTGTTGGATAAATTTTAGAATAAAATCAGTCGATTTCGCAATGAAGCCGCGATCGTATACCTAACAAAAAAGTATAAGAAATAAATATTAAAAACACCAAAAATAAAAAAATAATATATTATCGACAGATATTAATGCACAATACTAAAATGGCTGTTCCTTCGAAGTTTTTTTTTTTTTTTTTTTTTTTCCGTAAGGTTCCATCAGACGATGAAATTTTTAACAAAGTTACTTACATAACTTTTTATTTTCATAGAACAAGAATGAGCATTAAAAGCGAAAAATGTATTTCCTTTTCATTGCAATCCTAGTTAAATTGGATCAAAAATTTTGATCACTTTATAACTATATATTTATTATACGAGTATATTTAAATCAGGATATTTTTAGCTGTTTCCTGCCAAGCCAGTGTGATTTTCAAAAAGTGGTAGCGTTCTAATGCTATAGAAAAAACCCCACGAGCCCAAATCCAAAATGTTCATTTCAAAAAGTCCTCAAAAAACAAGTGATTGAAAAAACTTTTAAAAGGAGTATCGGGTCTTAACATTAGGTGTTGTTCGATGCGAACTTTCTGCAAAAATGCAATTATTTATCTTGATCTATTCGAATTTTCCAAGGCCGTGGTATGTAATCCTTTCAGTTTTTACTGTACCTCCTGGTTGATGTATCACTCGTTAAAAACACACGACTGCTGTGCACAGCAGATTTTAAGTTCTGCGGCGAAAATACAGCAGTGCGCATCGTCA